CTTGATGGAACCGGGTTTCGATCCCCATCCCTACTCCTGGAGGAACCTCAGCTGGTCAGAAGGTAAAATAAATCTGACATCGACTGTCAGAACGGAGGATCTGTGTGTGATCAAAGCTGCTCTGATGAATCCATTCCTGCAGTTTAACCCTTTTATGAAAATGGATCGCAAACAGAATAAATCTGAAGTGGTTCTGATTACACATGACGCTGCTGTTACCTGGTCTGCAGGTGAGCATTGGATGGGTCCAGGGCGTGGGAATCGAACACGGTTCTGTTGGGCGGAGGTCGAACCGACTCGCGGTTTAGCTCCATCTGCTGCTCTGGGTCTCTCAGCTGCAGAGCACACACACCCTGGTAAGGCGGCGGCTCCTCTCCGTCTGACAGGGATATGGTGGGGGGGAGGTCGATGAGGCTCTGGGGCAGGTAGGGGTACGTGGGCTGGAAGCGGCTGGGCCCGTACGGCAGCTGGAAGCGCTGCGGCTCTCGCTGCAGGTAGGACATGACTCCTCTGTCTGCGGGAGGCGGGTTGAAGACCTGCTGCTGAAAGACAGACGCTCAGTTAGAGTAGGCGGAGCCTTCAGTGGAGCTTCCTCCAAAAAGACCTCACCTCATTCAGACCACCGCTGCTCCCCGAGCCGTCGGCAGACCACAGGCCCTCCTGCAACAGAGACCTGCAGGTTACACCCATCATCTACCAGCAGCAGGAAGACAGAAGGTAGCAACTAAATACAGGAGTTAAAACCGCGTCTGCAGTTTATAGAGAGAACATCCCAACAATCAATCAATCTTTCAAGCTTCAAGGGCGGGATAAAGAGAAAATGAAAGAAAAATAAATCAAGGTTTAATAGAACGAAATGCATAAAAACATTAAAGAAGAATGATGTCATCAAAATTACTTCTTTCAGGTATGGATTTATTCATTTATGCAAAACAAATGCAACTGTTCATTTATTCATTAACATTTTAATCCTATTTTAGAGGATTTCAAGTTAATTATTTTTACTAGTTTATTTATTAATAAATAATAATAGTAATTATGATTTTTATCTCTTATTGTCGGTGTGCTCCCTGCTGCAAAATATTCCAGGATCATAAACCACTGAAGAAAAGGTCAAAGGTTAAAAAGCAAATATGTTGAAAGCAGATGATTAAATGAAGGATTTGTTGCCGTTGGCATGTTGAAAGTTTTAGCTTCTGAACTTTTTTTTCCATTATTTTTAGGTTTTATCTGTTGAAACCTTTCTCCAGTAGGGGGCACTGTTGAGGTTGAAACGGAGCTTCTTTCTCATTCTGCTCTTTTTAAACCGGTTTTTGAAACATCTTCATCCTCTTCCCTGTTTTTACTCAGGATCTCACCTCTGTTTTTAATGGACTAATTAAACTAAGAAGCAGGAGGAGTTTTTTTGTCTCAGCTGCTCCCAAACTTGTCTTTCTTTCTTTTGGACCGTGTCTCTTTGCTTGTCTGCTGGGACGTGTCAGCGTCTCTGACTGCTAAACCAACATTGAGCTGCTCCCTCTCTATCTCACTTCTGACTCAGGTAGCCTGGCGTCATGTGTTTGAGGAGGCCTCAGGTGGAAGTCACTCAGAATAAACTCTGCAGGACCATGATGACGAAGGAAAGAGTCAGGCTGCTAGCTCTTACCCTGCAGCGTCTGTCAGCATCCCTGACATGTTCCATTCATTCTATCTTTCTGTAGAATCCAGCTCACATTCACTAATCCACACGTTTACAACAGGAAGTTACAGCAATTTTGCAGAAGGATACTATTTTATACTATATTTACTTTAGATAATAGAGCAGAAACTGAAACCTGGATGTAGCCGATACACTTCTAGAACCAGAGACGGGCGGCCGCTGGTACAGATGTCCATCAGGGAAGATTCCCACAGACTAAAAGTTGCCTTTTGTATCTCTACTTCTTTCTGTGTGTCGCCCAGTCGGCCTCAGCAGATGGCCGCTCACACTGAGCCCTGTTCTGCTGAAGGTTTCTTCCTGTTAAAGGGGAGTTTTTCCTCTCCACTGTCGCTACAAGCATGCTTAGTGTGAGGGATTGCTGAAGAGGCGATGAAATCAACTGGTTTTCCTTAGATATAGAACTTCTATTCAATTTGACTGTATAATCTCTTGAACTTGCCTTGATATGACGTGTGCTTTGAATTCCATAGAAATAAACTGACTTGAATTAAAAGTCCTGTTAGTGAAATCCTACAGGTGAAGGTTTGGGTGGATGAGACAGGTAGAGGTTTGGACTTACGCTGGCCAGTGGCAGGTGCCTCCTGCGGGTAGGGGAGTGTCTGGACAGCAGGGAGCGTGCTGACAGGCGGTAGTGGTTAAGAAGACAGGTGATGACCACCACCATGACCATCATGAACACCACGATCACCAAGATCTGGATGAACTCCAGCTGGGCTGCAACGGCACAAACACACAGGTCAAGTCAGTCAACCGTTTCTAGATGCTTCTACAACATGGCTCAGAGCTTGTCCAGTTACTCTGGTTTGCATTGTTCTAGTTTAATCCATTAGAGGGTTTACAGCATGAAATATTTTTGTAAATTCTTCCTGAAGTTGAGGCGTGGGAGGAAGCATCATGTTGGCCCCAATGAACAGAAACCCAACAGATCTACATCGCTTCCTATTTCCTTTAAAGTTTTGTTCAGATAGTAAAACTGAAACTGGTTAATATCTTTATATTGTATTTCTACGTTCTAAAAACAGGAAAACCAGGAACAAATTTTTTGAATGAATGAAGAGAATTAAAGGACAAGCTCTCATGAAAAGCAAAACAATAAACACATTAATGATCAACCAAAAACACGTCCTCTTTTCACACAGGAGAACGATTTTAATGTTTATGTTTTAGGGTTTAAATTCCTAAAAGTGAAGGAGAGACAGCAGAGACAGTCTGCTCAAACCCTACTGCAGAACACACACAAACAGACACACATGTTGTGTCACAATATCCTTGTGGGGACCTTCCATTGACTTCCATT